AAGTTGAAAATGTAGGTGTCTTTAAAAAATGTGTACTTTTTATGTTTTATATTAGCAAAAAACACATTTTCTCTCTCTCTTCGGTGCCCAGCGCCTCCTGTGGGTCGTGCTTTTGGCACAGTTAACACTTCTGTATCAGAGGACAGTGCAGTGATCAGTTGGGAATACTTTGGACACCATAAGAATGTATATGTGGAGTATATTGTTGAGAACAGTAAGGCTTTCTCTTGTATTTCAAAGCATCAGTGCATGTCTTGACTTGCTTACAACTGACTAGATCTGATTTTTCAAAATTAGCATTTATCCAAGTATCAGATTCCTGAATCTAATTCCTTTCCACTACCTCGATTCCAGGTAAAGAGGAGTGGAAAAAGGAGTTTGCAAACGGTTCACACTCACATACAATAAAAGGTTTAAAGCCAGGAACTTCCTATAGGGTGAAAGTGATAGCTAAAGATGCAGCCGACCCGACAGTCCACAGCACAGACGAAATGTTGGTTACGGTGCCAGGTGAGGCAGCATGCCTCGACATAGATGGTTTTTGTTTTCAGTGCCTGCCTCATCTTTTTTTTTCTCTTCATCATCAGATTTAGTTTGTTACACTCAGACATGAATGTACGGTAGTTAGTTAGCGTACAAGCATGTCAGGAGTTGCCATCAGTAGCCTCTGGTCTAATGCATGTCATTTAAAGTCGTCACCGCAATGCCCATTTTTACCTTTGTAACTCTTTTAATTTTGTTGTGTTAGTGCCTACATGCATTGAGGATCAGAACTGCTGAAATAAAAAATTAACAAAGACAGAAACACGTGACTCTGTAAAACAAAATAATACCCTCCACACCCATATTTCTTTGCCCTTTTTCAGGCACTTTTAGCTTCTTCGTCTTGCAAATGAGTGATTATCCAGTTTAACTGAACACCTCATTTTTCCAGTCATCTGGAAACTTAGACCTTGAGAAAGGTCTAAGTTTCTAGAAAAATTAGACCTCTACGGTGCACACTTTGCACACAACGACAGCAACCTAGTTTCAATACTAAAACAACAATGTCATCGAAAAACAGAAATAATTTAGTCTGGCTAAATAAATAGGAAAATGGAAAGGTAAGTATATATGAAATTAATACAATTGAAAGTAGATAGAAGCAGAAAATTTATAGAAAAGTAAATACGTACAGAAGTAAACACATCTTACTGTGATCCACAAGGTCTCTGCTTGTGGATTATATGGTCACACTGTCTGACAACCACCCAGCAACAGAAAAAAAACATCACAGACCAAACAATATTGTTGCAAGAGCATGTATCAATGCATTAATATTGTGTGTATTTTTGTTTTGCATTCTTTTTCATGCAATTTTGATAAGGAGAGATCATTTGGAAGAACTGAATGTGATTTACTGAGATACAGAATTCAATTAAGCTACTTGGTGATTAGACTCTGATGACCTGGCATAGCAGGACAGAATCTCAGCGGTGATAAGAATTAGGACAAGACCCACCGTAGTGTAAATGCTGGTGGTGGTGAAGATGAAGATGAAGGCTTGGATGAGACGGATTGCACGAAAGCAGATTGCAAGAAGAGTGCTGAGATTTGAAGTATGCAAAATAGAGGCCAATTGGCTCTGTTCTGTGGGATGGGGAAAGAAAATGATTGGACTAGAGTAACGATGTCAGCGTTGTCAGTTTGACAACGTGGGAAAGTGGAAGTGAAATAAAGAATAGGCTAGCAGTTTAAGCACTGACAACAGCAGTGATTACAGATCTTCCTTATTGAACATCACCATAAGCGTCATAATAATTTATTTAAAGTCATTTATTTATTCCCTAATTATAGATTTATTTTTGTTTTTAATGTTGGCTGTTTTGGTCCTCCATGTAATCGTCATATTAACCCATTTCACAGTTCCATCCTGTGTTTACAGCTTCTGTTAATCTCAGTGTTGCTCAGCATGAAGAGGACAGTTTCACTGTTATAGGAGCCTAGAAGTACATTCTGAGCTGACACTTAAGTTTATTTTATTTCTGTGAACTTCTCCCCACCCCTTTTTCTTTCTTTCTTTCCTCTTTCTTTCTTTCTCCAGCTGTAGCCAGCCGGCAGGTAGACATCGCTACCCAGGGCTGGTTTATTGGACTGATGTGTGCCATCGCTCTCCTCATCTTGGTGCTTCTAATAGTGTGTTTCATCAAGAGAAACAAGGGTGGCAAATATCCAGGTAAACCACACATTATCTGCGTGCATTATGAGTCCAAGCCTGTAGTCGGGGATGGGCGGAAATTTAAATTAATTGCTGTTGAAACTGACAGTGAAAGAAAAAGAAGACGCTCACCAAGACCCAGAGATCCAACCCATGAAGGAGGATGACGGAACATTTGGAGAGTACAGGTGAGAGACGTTCTTCAGTCAGAGAAGCGTGGTTAAAATAGGACCAGAGCAGAGAGCAGTGTATGAGCGTTCTCTTTGTGTTGGTCCATTGTGTCCTGACTGGCCTGTTTGTATATGTAGAACATTTTACCGGGCTGCAGAAACACTCCCCCCACCAGACTCGATTACCAAACACTCCACAGAGGCAAGGCGAAATCCAAACTACTCTGCTTTGACTCTTACATTTACCAACTCACCTGCACATTGCCCATCTAATATAAAAAAAAGCTTTTTCATATTGTACAATATGTCAATTTTAACAAGTTATTTCATCTCTGGCCTCTTCAATTGTGTACTAACTGCTCTTAAAACAAGTGAGATCTTGCATGCTTCGACTAGCAGAGCTGAAAGCGCTGTCTGTTTCCAAAAAAAGCTCACAAAAAAATAGACTCAAAACTCACTGTGGCTCATGAATTGCTTTTCATGTGTCCTTCCACTTTTATCTTTCTGTTTTGTTTTTTCGGGGGGAGGGGTTTAGGTCGATGGAGAGGTAAGACAAGATGCGATAAAAGCAGCATGCAATTCAAGCAACCTATAAAACCTCCTTGAGTTCCTGATTAAAGAGAAAATGAAGGCAGAGACTACTGTGTCATGATGCTCATTATAGTACCAGCATTAACACTCCAGATTTACCATTTAATATTACTGCTTTAACTGCTTCTAGCTCCCTTCATTTTACTGTTTTAATAATGATAATGTCTTTAATATCTCCATTAAGTGCTAAAGTACTTGGATGATCCTCACTGTAGCTGCCATAGTATTGAATAAAAGTCAATGTGTTAATACAGGTGGAGCGTGACAAAATGGTTTAAATGATGCTGTTTGCATTTTGGATTCCTGCATGTAAAGCGAAAGCATATTGACTGAAAGCGTTTCAGAAATTGCATTCGGATGCAGGTACATTGCAAAGGACTGAACGGCACGTATTTGCAAACTCCTCTTGCAGCGCTGCACCCGGACTTGAACCACCACAGCACTAACACCCTAAATGATATTTAACTGAGCTGCTCCACTGTACAATAACAGTACCACATGTAATGTATCACTTACCCCATGATTTTGCTCATTTTAAGTTTTTAGTTTAAAAAAGTAATCACTTGTGGATGTATTTGCACATTTGAAGTGAGCTTCATCAAAATGTGTACCAAAGATGCAGTGATATTGTCACTGTGGTAAGGTATGCTTGTGCAGTGGAAAAGCCAGACTGCTTATGTGCTTGAAGAGCCTGTTTTCTTTCTAAAAGGTTATGAGAAGTGCAGAAGACTTTCTGCAAGCTGCACGAGTTCTTTCTCAGCCATCTTCCTACTCCTTACAGTGACACTGAGGACCACAAGCCGCTGAAGGGTAGCCGGACGCCGTCCAACGGGACGGTGCGGCGTGACGAGAGCGACGACAGTCTGGTGGATTACGGTGAAGGTGGGGACGGGCAGTTCAACGAGGACGGCTCCTTCATCGGCCAGTACAGCGGCAAGAAAGAAAAAGACACGCACGAAGGCAACGAGAGCTCAGAGGCCCCGTCGCCTGTCAACGCCATGAATTCATTTGTCTAACAAAGGGCCACGGCCTGGCTGCAACGCTCGCTTCAGCCACTCCCTTGTCACCCTGGCAAATGTGACCATCTCTGTGGTGACAGCTGCTAAGGTGACAGTTGTTGTGGACACCTACCTTAACCCCTTGGTGGTTCTCACTCCGGTGGCCATGGCTAACTGTCACCAAGACTGCTGACACGACCTCATCCCCACACCTGCCAGCCCCGGTCACACTGTGACCTCCACTCATCAAGACGCACTCAACATGGCAAAGACCGGCTCCACATCACCCATAACCATTGAAAGAAGGTGTGAAATGAGGGAAGGAGAGAGCAAACAATACAGAAAAGCAAAAGGAATGTACCCGAAGGGGTTTTTACCACTCAGACTGAGCACGAATCTTTTAAGTGTGTTAGTGCCATTTGATATCCTTTGCAAAATATACTAGATATGAAATATCAAAAAAGATATATTTTATCAAGCTACAGTACATAACCAGAAGGCAGGCAAAACAATGCATCCAATCCCATTCATAAACATATGCATGGAGTAAATTGTGATCCTAATAAGCGTTTTACCACACTCGTGTCAGTTGTTGCAGAGGTAAGCTGCGTGTTGAAACTGTATTCCATGCACGCCTACAAGCAGCTGGGTATGTCTTTTATTGTTTCCTTTTTTTATCAGTCAGAAAATGTCAAATCACGTATGATATATAGAGGAAAAAAAGACAGCAGTGTCTTTGCAGAGACTGCTGTGAAATGTGTGACTCCAAGTAGAAGCTAGCATAGGTTTTTGAGACTGACCTTTTTTGTACATATGTGGTAGAAGAAGAAGAAAGCTATATTTTAAGGACAGGTACGTCTATTTGCAATCATTAAAAACCTGGCTAGACATTAGATAAGCTCAGCTTTCAGCCACTTATCACACCAGCCAGCTAGCCAGACCTCCCACACTTAACTGCAGTCGGCCTCCCATTTTTTTTCTTTTTTGCAGTCTTTTGTGTTTGTCCCAAGCCTGCGCTTCTTCTCACTGATCTCTTAAGTGGTGATTGATCCAGTGTCATTGCCAGGTGCTTCCACCTCGAGTTGTGGCCCCCTGCGCAGGCCTCTGTTTTACGTGGACAGAGCTAACCGCTACCCCAGCACTGCTTCCAATAGCATTCCTTCTTGCATATGTGCTGTGCATACTGTGCTGCAAATATGTCGCATTTAGAGAAAGGTTCACCGAGAGATGGTGCAGCGGTGTCTGGATGTTTGGATGTTAATGATTGAGAAGCTCTCAGCACGGTTTCTAGTGCCTTTGTAGTGAACGGCAACCTGATTCATAGTGACATCCTTCCTTCATACACGAGACAGACCAGAGCTCAGAGCAGTTCAAGAAGTCTACAGCTGCGATGCATTCAGAATACCACCCGACCTTACCTTAATAACAGCTTTAAAAGCTACGCGAGTGTTCAACACCGCAAAGAAATGCGCTTCAGGATTTAGCTGATAATAAAGTTGTTCATAGGGGAACATTAAAACTAAGACCATTTTATCAGCTGTAATGCCACTAAATATCGTAAATATGTGGGCTAGTTATTTAAAAAAAATAGCCTCTTTCATTTTGGAGTCCAGGGTTCCTACACAGTGCTATAAACGTGACTTGATTTGAACAATTTTGATGTTACACAGTGGCATTTGTTGTGAGGGGTCGCTTCCACCTATAGATTGCTATGCCCTTGTTGACAATCATATTATCCAGCTACCATCAGCTCACAGTGTATACGCATCATATAATCATACCATCCAGCTGTGAACACTCGATAATAAAATGGGAAAAATGTGTCATGTGTCCATTTCAAACTTCTCCCAACCTGTTGGGAGCACTAAACAACTGCCAACCTTCTCGCCAGGTAACCGCCAGTGGGAACCAGACTCAACATCTGGAATAGACTTACATTTGCTGGTAGCGCTTAGAAACGACGCGGTCATAAAAATGATACTGAATGTGAAAACAGGTGTATCTGTTCATGTGAATATATTGCTTGTTTCACTCCAAATGGTAAAACACACTGGTGACTTCGGTTTATGCATTCAACCCTTATGCTGTATGTCGTCTCAGTCTGAGCGCAGTGAGTTTTATATTACTGTAAAATGAATGAAGCTTAAGTGTGAATGTCCGGGTGCACGAGAGTGAGCGTGTGCACCACATGCATGCTACCGCGTTGCAGCGTGCCCAATGTATGCCGTTGCTTTCTGTTTCCATTGGTACCAGTCTATAATTCCGATGTGTGTCAAGCAGTCTGCTCCCACTCTCAACGGGACATGCAAAACTTTCTTTCCTTTTCTTTTTCAGAGAACATTTCCATGTGTTGGGTTTATCATAACTTGCATCAAGTTTTTAGGTTGCAACGTGTCAGCTTTCCACGTGTAGATATTTCTGTTGCATTTTTGTAAATAATACTTTGAATTGAGCACGTTGAGGTCAAAGGTGAGAGCTAGACCTCAGTCAGTTCAGTGTGAGATGGGACTATTTACAGTTATCATTCTTTTTCATTTGGTGTGAAGTTATTTTATATTTTAACCCGTCAGGTGACTTTGCAAATGTTTAGCCGATCAGGTATCAAAGGAGATTATTTAACTTGTGACTGAGCTCTTGTGACACCTGTATTGTTTCTGTTTTAGACAGTTCATGCACATTTTCTGTATTTTTTACAAATAAATTACAAAAAAAAAGGCACACAGTTAAATAGGCTATATCATTTAAAATAAACACATGCATCTATTTTGGGACAACACCGTGTGGGTGGATGTAGCTCGCACAAGAAATATTGTCCTAAACTAGACATCAGTTAAAAATGATATCCTTTTAAAGCGTGTGCATGCAAAAAGAAGACGAAAAACCCCACAATTAATATTAATTGGGAGCATATGGAAATATGGTCAGCATGGATTTATAACCGAACTGGCAAATTGGAGTGTGAATACACCAGAAACAATGTTCTAGTTACTGGTTAACATACAGTAGGATACACAGTATATGATATGACATTCTGGTTAATGTTAACGCTACACGAGAAGCATGAAAGGCTGTCAAAATGGTTTACTCTACGATATAATATTGCAAAATATTTTGTATTTTAAATGAAGTTTAAAAAAATGAAATAAATGTTGGTTTCAGGATTCCACAACTGGTATGTTTTTCTTTGACTTTGTACAAGGGGTAAAACATAAAGTGTGTATGTGCGTGTGTGTGGCGCCACCTAGTGCATGATTTGTCTTTTCTCCAGCTAATGACCGGCAGAGATTAACAATTGAAAGTTAATCCTCACAAGATTAACATACATCTGGAGCACCGCATGTGTGGTGTGTGTGTGTGCTTTATTCAAATTCCACTGTAACACTGGTTTCCATTGAAAAGGAAATCCATGGAAATATGACAGCTATCAGAGAAGATGACTACAAAATTCAAAAACCAGCATATAGGCATACACAGTATTAAGGAAAAAAGACTGGAAATCCAAATTTGAAAAAATGTTTTCAAATAATGACAACACACATTAACAATTTTATTAGACCTTCATCCAGTGTAAGGTTTATTCCACAGCCTAAATTGACAGTATTATTAATCACCAGAATAATTTTTGATTCACCAGTATGTACAAGCGCTTTAATCTGAATTATAGTTTTAATGCTAAAATATAATTATTGTCGTCACCCATGGGTTTTCAAATGTGCTCTTTTATTTTTTATAAAAAAGCAAAAAAAAATTTAAAAAAAAAGTAAAACACTATATTATTGTTTGATTATGATGCCAAACTACAGTTATTCATTTGTATACTTGTAATAAATAATAAAAATATTTGTGTTTTCTTGCTTTTAAGACAGGTGGTCTGATAAATTTGTTAAACACTGTAAGTGCATGCAGTGAACTAGACAACATATTTATTTTTAGGCTAATGTGTTAGCTATTCTTTAATCACACTGTGGATCAAATCATTTCCTCCCATAAATCTCATCCTGTAAATCATGTGAGGAGGACTGTCAGTGTGTAAAAGCGCAGTAACTGCAGTACTGATACAAACATACAAACAGTTTTTCTGTTGTGCTCCTTTCTACTTCTACATTTGTATTAAAGACAGGTTATCAACAAAAATGTGTAACTAAATCACTTCTTTTCATTGTAAAATTAGCTAATCATAGAGTAAGAACTTACTTGAGATACTTTAAGTAGTTAACTTTAATAGTTTTGTACTTTTACTTAAAAAAGTACAAAACTTGTAGGATAGGTAAAAAAAACAAAAAACTGTAGGATTAATTATGTTATTGTATTGTAAGGAATCCTTGTACCTCGCCTGGTCTGCAATCCACCATTAATAATTAATCTGCAGGTCATTTAAGATGCACAGCACATGGCCGCATCAGCTATGGGAAGCTTTCCTTTATGTCTTTCTTTTTCAAATTTCCCAAATCCCTTTGTATTATAATAAATTTCCAAATTCCTGCGAAATCTTTAGTGCGTTGGAGTGCCAAGTTATAGCCTGCCCTTGTACTTTATTTTCAATCAGATGACAGCAATTCAATAACTCGCCTTAATATATTTCCTCCTTTAATTTTATTGATTTATTTTTAATACTTATTATGACTGAACCAATTATTTTTTCCCCCCACTGTGACTTTATTTCCCTCGTCTGGGATGCGCACAAGCATGATGCTCGCATCCCTCCCATCCTCATCCTCCCTCTCTCGAAAGCCAATCGCAGCCGCCTCCTCCCCGCTAACCATGACCTGCCACTCAGCCTCTCTCATCCAATAGAAAAGTTCATCTGAACGGGACGCTCCGGCGGGGTGGGCTCTGTGGCACGTTGCGGTTCGGGTCCAGGTGTGCCATGAAGACAGTGCGCTGAAATTTCTCATTCCGCCTCAAAAGGTAAGAACGACACCGCAGCACGTGCATGACACAATTGTCTCTTCGTGTCCGGAGATGTGAGAATAAACCAGGGGTGCTTTGAGAGCTGGAGTGTGGAAATGGACCGGCTCTGGAGTACCGCAATGCAGAGCAGTGAATTACCGGTGCCGCTCAGTCGTCATAGGGGTGAAGCGATGTAAGGAACTGCGCAGTTACTTTAAAAGACTGAAGACTGCGACAAAGTCAGCGCTGTCTGGCTTTGCATTTCACTCTGCAGGTTTAGTTCAGAGTGAATCGACTGCAGCACATGCTTTTTAAAAAAAGTGCATCAGTGGATGCAGGGAGGAGACTCAAGGTGAAAGTGTCTCATACTGGATGCGTCAAGGGCGCAGAGTGCAGTTGATCCATTATGGCATCTGCTTGGGAAAGTATTAGACAGGGCTACTCCCTTATTGGCCCAAACTGCTGTATATATGCGCTGGAACATTTATCCTCTTAAAACATTAATTCTGAATTATTGTTAAATTAAATGTGTATTGCTATAGAGCCACATCTTGCATACCCTTTGAATATGAACTTAACAGTCAGCCAGATTAGTGCTGCAAACGGCCTGCACTGTGTTCAGTGTATTTGTTGCATAGTGTGAAAGAAATGGAAGTAGCTGTAAGAGTCATATTATATACGTATAACCAAGGCAACTTCAAATGGGTTTGCTCACATCGCAGGATTGTGTCCCTCCCCTACACCTTCTCTCTTTTCCCCTTGTCTGCTGGGATTTAACAGATTGTAAAAGATGTGACGAGTGTAACGCCTCCTTTCAGATGCTGAAAAGTCCTTCACCAAATGGATTTGGCTGCAAGATTCTGATTATTCCTTATTCAGCCTCATGTGTCTTTATTCTGTCATTTACATCACTTGTGATCCAAATGCCCGTGCATAAGTAACCCAGCAAACTCAAGATTAAAGCAGCATTACTCGAGTGCCCTGTTGCTGAATTCTAACATTACTATGAATGTGATTTCTGGCAGCCACAAAAGCCGCATGCAAACATGGTTATCCAGTCAGCCCCCGAGAGAGACTTGAGGCTTAATACGTGTGCTGACCTAAATTTTTTTCTGGCCTGTCCAAAGAGGATGGTGATGGGATTATTGCCAGCTGGGAATCGCATGAAAACAAACTCAGATGAATTGATCAGAATTTCCATTATGACAGATTGCAACTTTAATCTGCAAAGCCAAAGCTGTATGAAAGTACTATATATAAAAGTGATTTCTGTATGTGTTTGCACACTTTCAATGTAGCCTGTGTACAGATCTGTGTACCCATATCGTAGATGCAAAAGAGATGTACTTTCATCTTAGGACAAGGTGCACAGACGCATAGCTGTGCAGCTATGGTGACATTAGTGCTGAGTCATCATGAGGGCCTTTGAGAAGTCACTGCTGCAGTCTCTGCATGTGGATAAGCTACTGGGTGTATGCCTCTGCTCTCTCACTCCCTCTTTCTGCTTGTTTGAGACAGACGCTGCTAACTGAGAATGATGGCTGTTTGGCCCTTTCTAGGTCTATTTTTTTGCCACATTTTTTTTTACCATATCTGTTCAGCTTCAATTTGCCTTTTAAAGTTTGCATTACTAAAGTGAAGTGCATGTTAATTGTAGTTTTCATGCATACAGTATATGCCTTTAACTATATAAATGTAATGTTTAATATGTTCAGTTTAATACGGCCTCATTCCATGTGACAGTGTATGAAGATTATCCATTGTAAGCCTGAGTTGATGATGGTTTAGAGCAAATTGAAAGATTTCCGATGCATTTTGAACCAGCGGCAGACACAAAAGAGAAATCTGCAGCTCTTGTATCCTCAACAAGTCAGCAGAGACTTCAAGGAAATGTATAAATAGTATTTGGCTATGTAAAGTGAAGTAACTTGCATACATAGCTGTAGTAGTTGTCTATTCTGTGCCGAACCAGTGCACTTTGCAACACTAATACAAAAATGAGAAGCTGCCAAGTAGCATTTACCCCCACTAATCCCACAACAAGATTCGTCACAATTACAGAGTCAGGCTTTTCCTTCATTCCTTTTTTAACCTCCTGAGACCCGAACTCTTCCACAGCATGCATTTTCAATTTCTCTTTCATATTTGGGCATATTGGGACCTGATGAATGTAAAAACAAAGAATTAGCAGATTTTTTATTTTTTTTTTACCTTATTTTGGTTTTTAAGAAAAATGAGAGCCACATATGAGGATATTCATTTAAAATTTCGATAGAACAGTAGCAGTATAATGTCCTCCTAAGTGGATATCAGGCCCTTGTAGAGCAAAATTGAGTATTTTGGTCTAAATAACCCAAAATGTGATGTCCACATATGTGGACGCCAGGTCCTAGGAGGTTAAATATTGAAACCTGAAATGTAAATGTCATATAAGCAACAAACAAGGTCATCTTACAGTTTATAACAGAGTTGCTTAAAATACAACTAAAGATTTTAGTTGTCATTCTTATGCAAATGTTTTTTCCATATTTCCATCTATATTTACAGTAAACTGAAATCACAAAGGGGAAGAAGCCTTTAGTTAGCTATCAGTGGGCTTACACAAAGTGTGCTAACTAAAGCAACCTTCCATAAAACAGTGTAACTAAAATGACCTCTGAGATGGCTTGTTTGCTTATTAAAACCAAATGCTATCTACATACTAGGTTGTAGATGTGGCTTTGCTGATTTAAAACCTTAACTTTAACTTACTGTTGTTGCCATCTTGCTTTTTTGGAGCATGAATTGATCGTAGTTAAAGGTAAGAATTGAGGGCTAGTAAGCTCATTTAACTAGGAGCATCCATAGACTGAATGGGTGCTACAATAATGCTAAATAACACACAAATAAAATGGTAAAGTTGATGACAAAAATAGACTTATTGGAAGAACAAAACAGAATATATTATCTTTTAGCTAACTGATAGAAATTCAGTGACCCTAATTAGCGATGGTGAGATCAAATAGATAGCTAGCATGTGCAAAGCTGTAAACCTTAAATGGGTTACATTAATCTCTACCCCCACAGTTGTTATGAAGAGATAAATTACCCATTAATACTAAAAAATAACCTATCTGCACAGGGCTGTAAACCTGTATATTTCTGTTGTAAATAACAGTATTTTAAAATGGGAGTTATGGTCAGGAGTGCACATAAGTGGTCCGCAGGTGCACATTCGCTGTCAAAATAAAAGACGCACACCAGATAAGAAGCTGCAACCCACGTTTGCAGA